TTAAAAAAAATGTAGGATTTTATGTATAATAATAATTATCATAACAGTTTGAAAGGCGAAGCATAAATACAATATTTGTGAATATGTTTATTTTGTTATGATTGTCTGAATATTTACGAAGAATGTTTTACTATGTTTGTTTGAAATTCAAATAATATTCCGCTTTATATTATATACTGCTATTTTTGGGTATTTAACTTAACCTTATAGTTTGTTTCGCTGCGCAAAAACTGTTAGACTTAGGTACTTAAAATTTCGAAGATGTATAGAAAATTATACGTTGAAATAAACTAATTTAACATCCGATAATTAGTTTGAGAATTATTAACTATTAAACATTTTTAAATGAAAAGTAAGAAACCAAAAATAAACAAAACGAAATTTTAAAGATATGCATGTTAGCAAAAACAGCACTTCATCAGGGGACACACTGGAACCTTTCTGTAGTCAGTGATTTAACCAAAAGCACTAGTATGTTAGTAGACAGTGTGTCCCCTGATGAAGTGCTGTTTTTGCTAACATGCATTATATATTTAAAATTTTGATTTGCTTATTTTTGGTCTCTAACTTTTTATATAAATGGTTTACATAGGATAAAATTGGTTTTAGCTTTTTTTAGCGCTTTTCCCTTTTGGCTTGTTATTTTAAAATTTTATCCTAAAATTTTTATCTTGAAATTTATTTAAATCAATTTCATATTTTGATTGGATAACTATAAGACATATAATAAAAAAAAATACCGTGCAGGCTGCTCTGCAAACCGCAGAAAGATAACTATAGCCTTATAATTTGAGATGCTAAAAGACTAATTTTAATACGTGAATTTAACTCGAGTTTTTTTTATTTTCGAAATTTAAATTTGTTCGAAAGTTATTGCAATTTTATTCGGATTTTTTTTTTCGCTTTTCTTTTTGCTTTAACTACTTTTTATCCAAGGCTGAAGAAAAATTTCTCCCTCGAGAGTTTCATTTTATAAGGTCGCGCTTATCTTTATGTCAAAAGTAACAAAAAAATTATAAATAAAATAAAAAATGCGAGAATTATTAGTAGATGTCGCAATCTTGGTAATTGTAGCGACATTTTTAAAAAATATAAAAAGCTAAACGGAGAGATAAACTTTTTCTTATTTTAACTACCGTTATACAATGTAAGGTTAATCATTATACAGTATACTCTCGATCTATCGAAAACCTTGTAATGTCAAAAAAATATTTTTCACCTTAACATTAAATACGTATATCCACCTAATGTTAATTTGAATTCCTATGTCGAAAAGTTTCTTCTCATAACCTTGTTATATCGATTTTTATTCTAAACAGAAAATTAATTTTTTCAGAAAAATCACTGTATCACTGAAAATCAGTTCACTGAAAATCACTGAAAATCAGTTTATTGTACAACAATTCTTTTCTGTTTGACGCATAATTAATTTTTGTCTCACTTTTAAAAATAAAATTATTTTTGTTGTATTTAGAATTATAGGCAACTATCATTGCATATACATTAATCAGTAGTTATTCTTCTCTTTCATGACTCAACTTTTGAGAGAAATATTTCAGAATATAATTTTTTACTTTATAGAACCTACTTATTTCTGAATTTTTTATCTCAAAAATCACTATCTCGAAAAAATTTTAGCGTCCCTTTAAATTTTGAGATATCGAGGGTATACTGTATTGCGTTAACTAGTAAAATTACTTCTTTATTACTTCATATTGTGTGGAAAACATCGAAGAATTAAAAAAAATTTCATTTTTAAAAAAAAGTTAAATACTATTGTTATTAAAAAAAAAAACAAGTTTATAACAAGTTGTAATTTAAGTCAATAATACGGTGTCAGATTCATTCGATTATCATAATTAGGTTTTTGAAATGATAATTTTCTTTAAATATTTCATCTTTAATTTTAGATGTTTCCGTTTTTTCTCCATTTCATTTGCACAAATTAATTAGAAATTCTATTTCACCGCAAGCATCTTTGTCATAAACATAGCGTTAAATCTGTCTATAAAATCTGTCTATAACCAAGTTCAGATTTGCAACGAAAGAAAGTAGAAACATCAAAATAAAAAATTATTAATTTTCTAATGACAAGATTAATTTTAAAAAAAATATTTTATTCTTTTGAAAGCTGTGAGAAACATACTTTTCATCGAAATCAATAATTTTTAAAAGTCGACTCCCCTATGACTTATCTAGGGGTCCGTTGATGACTTAAACAGATAGAAAAATATCAATAAAAGGCTTTATTTAGATAAATAGGGGTAACAATAAGGGTTGGTGTGTGAAGAGAAGTCAACATTGGGGAGTTGTTTTCTCTCGTGCGTTTTCTCTCGTGCGTTATATCTTTTTTATTTGATCATTTACTCATCGAGTTTAATTGTAACTATGAACTCAGAATTTAAAAATATGGTTACGTGTAATGTTTATAGGTTCAAACTTGTGGCCAATATGGACTTAATCAAGTTAATTTTAGAGAGTAAGTTAAATGAATTGCAAAATTTAAAGTACTAAATAGAAAAATGGGACATAAAAAGTTTTACCGAAGCTGCATCCTGGTTGATGTCACAAGCTTCAATCTTTTTGTGATTGCTACAAGCAGAATCTATCGTCATATTAACATCAATCAATTTTCTCACAAACTTAGAGGCTCGAATTTTTACTAGTTCAGCTTTTGAAGCTCGTGCAAGTTTTAATCATTTTCTGATCACCAAAAAATATTATTGCCGAATTTCGAAAACTTTTCGACTCGGACTTCAGCTTGGAGTTCTATATTTTTATAACCCTCGTCCAGCTGACTCGATTTTGCGTTCACGACTGCTAATATTCAACTGCGTAGCCTTGCAATGTTGAACCCAATACAGAAGACGAGGGAACTTCTGAATCAAGCATTGGGAGAAGTTTGCCTCCGTGGAGAAGGAAGATGGAACTAACCAGCATTTGCGTTACCAGGGGAGGAAAATCGCGAAAACCTAACACGGTTAGCTTGACGGCAAGGGGACTCTAACCCATGATCCGTCGACCACTGAGTATATTTTACGTTAGCACTGTGGTTGGTGCGAGCCAAGTACGGAATTCGTATCGACCAGCCATAGTTGGAATTCAAACCCGGTTCACCTCATTGGAAGGGGGACGCTCTATTCCCTGAGCCCTTTATAAATTTTATATTGTTTGTAATTAATAATGAAGCAAATGTTTGTTTAATGGTAGTAAAAATTTTATTCTAAATCTGAGTCCGCCAGACCTCCAAACCTTTTTTCAGTAAATGATCTCGGTCCCGTCAAATCTTAACTATACTTGCGGACTTTTGAAGGTTCTGTGTTGTAATTGAAATGTATTACCTGCGGAATTTTTTTGTGGTAATTGAAGTTGCGTCCTGCGTTTTTTTGCTTTAGATTTAATAAATATAAGTTTTCTGCTTATAGATTCAAAAGAAGAAAAAAAGAAAACGTAGTTCTTTAAAATACTAATTATTTTTTTATCCAATGTTCTAATTTCACTCGATTTACTCCAGACATTTATTTGACGGTGTCTTCCCTGGTGGATGGAGGAGACAGGCGGTTGGAACTTAACTGGAAGGGCAGCAATCCAGAAGCTCTTGTCGCTCTTTACAATGCTCCCCCGCAACAGACAGACCCCCACTAGTAACCATTAAAGGGAATGCTGGAGGATACTTTAGGTAACACTTTATCAACCTTTATTATCAATATTTATTTCAACGTATTTTTGTTTGCTATCTAAACAAGTGACGCATTGTTTTCTACGTATTTTTTTTACGCCGAATCAGGGCTCGAAAAACAGCCCGTCCGCCCGTCCTCGGCGTTCAAAAATTCCCGCGGACAACGAATTTCTCGAATCTGACGTCCGCGCGGACGGCCATTTTCCCGTTAATGTTTGTGATACATTTTCAATTTTTGTAATCTTACAAGAGTCTAGCGCCTCATTTCTAAAATGACCCTCTAATCCAGAAATACAGCAACATACTGCGCATAATGGAATTGATGTTTTCTCTGTCTGGGAGTATTGCAGCGGTTGAAAAGGGCTTTTCAGCAATGAACTTACAAAAAAACTCATTACGTACTGGTCTTAAACAAGAAGCGTTAAACGCAATTATGAACATCTACCTAAATGGAAAACCCCATTCAGATTTCTGTGCAGAAACCTCTGTAAATCATTGGCTAGATTGTGGAACTGGCAAACGTAATATTCGATTCATTTAAAAAATGCAGTACCGGATAAATTGACACTCCAAACCAGATAACTTGACCTTTGTNATAAAAATTAGGAAAATAGTATTTCTTTTATTACTGTATAATATAATCCTAGTAACTACTAATTCATTGTGCAACTTATATAAATGCTTATAATAAATTTAGAAGCTACGGGTTAGTTTCAAAGGAGGACGGGTGCATTGTTGGACAAGCCGTCCTCGGGGACGGGTAAAATTTCTGAGGTTTTTCGAGCCCTGCGCTGAATATAAACTATTAGTTCGTTCATTTCGGTATTGGTCTCATTCAATTTAGCGAAACAGATTACATCGAAAAATATGTTTTGCATGTTACATATGTCCCTAGGTAGCAATGTAAAGAGTACACATTATGTACGTGTCAAAAAGGTAGTTTTTATAGATAAAAACTTTTGTGCATTTTAACTATTTTGCTCTATTGGCTTGTATATAGTTTCATTCGATTCAGCATTAAAAAAATCACATGAAACTATGTATTTTTTGTTTAGATAGCAAGATCAGATGAAAGAAACTTCTGGATCAAGTATTCGAATAAATTTGCTTTCGTAGAAGACTTTTTGATGGAACTAACCCGCATTTGCCTTAAAAGGAGAGAAATTTTATTTAAATTTTGTTACTGTAGACTCAAAAAGCTTTAACCCAGTTTTGGGAGTTTTTTGTGAACATAATTACCATGTTTATCAATCTTAAATTATAGCTTTAAACAAAACAACTTAGAAAAACCGTATGATATCATAAAATAAAACAGAAAGCATCAATCATTGCAAGTTTTTTATTAAAGTAAAGCTATTTTACATGGAGAGAACAAGCATTCTAAAAGTTTTTCATTTGTCAGGAATTAAGTATAAATACATGGTTCTCATCCTAAATACATGGTGGCTTAATAACCCAAACCGCACGGCCTTTAAATTATTTCTATGGCTTATTGAATCCTTGTACTTAGTCCATTTTCTCCGTTATTGGCAAGTTTTTGGTGCATTTAGCTTGCAAGAAGTTCAACACTTTTGCACCAGAATTTTAATGAGTACAAACATTTTTAATTTTTGTCCTGAATTTTGTCGTTCGTCAGTTACCATCCGTCATCCTACACTGTTCCAACCTCGAACCTAAAGACAAATGAAATCAGAATTCGTAAAAATGGGAAATTGAAAAAATAAAAATAAACACTTTAGTATAGTGGATATAATATACAATGCAGTACTGTGTAGAATGTAAAGTACATGATCATTTAAACAATAGTTTTTTGTGACATGATTAAAAACAAGAAACATAAACAACGTATTCAAAAGTATGCTTCATCAGTTAAAAAGGGAAACTGATTGTAATGGCATGCAAAAGTTACTTTTCCGCCGATCCGGAAACAAAATTGGTTAATTCATCAGGTTAGTATACTGAGCGATAGTAGAAGTTTTAATTGTTTTCTGTCTACAACAAGTACTGTTTTTATTCCATCTTTTTTATCGCCAAATAAAATTTATCGTCAATTGAAATTAAATTTCATACACTTTCCGACTAGCTAGAGTGTAGACACTGGAATTGGAGGATTATTATGCTTAATTCCAGTTTGCGTTACAATTGGGAAATAGATGATGAAAATATTATCTATTGCCAAACTAAATTTCCAACGAAAATAATAGATACAAAACTAAATAGAATAAAATAAAAATATGCAATATAATATAATATAAATAAAGAAATTCGAATAAAGTTTTAGGAGTAAATTTTTAGTAAGATATTAAATTCAAGAAATTAAATGTAGAATTCAAAAAGTGAGTTTTATAAAATGCAACCAATGCAGTATAATAAAACGAGCAAATCGCAAGATTTCAATGATTCAAAGTAAATAGGCTTAGAAATATTTACAAAATTTTTAAATATTTGGATTTCTGGTAGAATGATAAAATAAGGCTGATCAAACTCATGTCCAAAAATTAAAATGCAGGCAAAAAAAAAACAAACAGGCATATTTCAGCAAGGCAGAAGATTTTATAAACAAAAATGTTCCGAGTTGTAGTTCCAGATTCTGATCGAAATCCAGCTAGTCCATGAAGTTTGTTTATCTGATTTATTTAAAACAAGAGTTCGTTTTCAGTTGAGAATTTCTATTTTCCTATTTAACTAGTTGCGTATTAAGTTTTGAAATAAATTAATAGTGGAACTCACGTCGTATTGTTTGTTGTGACACTACAACGTATATCAAACATTGTAAACATTATAAAAATTTGAGTATTGAGCATTTAAAGAAATAAATAAGCAATCTGATAATATTTCGAAAAGAGTCAGATATCATACAATATTTATAAGAAAATACTAAGAAGCAATAATTCAGTACGTTCCTGCTTCAGTTTATTTTCTTTAATTATTCATTAAATTTAATGACCTGTTTGCTGATAGTTTAAAATAGTGAGTGTGTGATTTTGTCTGTTTCGTAGCGTCATGTGAGGCATTATGTTACTAAAAATAGAGTGCAGAAAAGTTTGGATGTTGTTTTGATTTAGCGCTTCTAAACAGAGACACATATACATTGCAGAGGGTTAGAAAAACCAAAATAATTAAATGAAGAAAAGTAACTGGATACCCGGTAACATTGGCTGGGTCCGGGTACCCAAACCAGGGTCTTGGGGTTTAAAAACCTAGTCCGGAACTAGGCGAAACTTTTTCGTCTTGCCCGGTACATTTCTAATCTAAGCCTTCATCATAAAATTTGCATAAAAATCATATTTTATTCTTTCTAAAGTACTTTACTTCAGACAGACATTTATCTCTCAAAAAATGTGATTTTAATTTTAAAAAAGTATACAATTTTATAGCATTTTATATAAAAAAATATTACTTTAAAGTCCATAGTCCAATCTCCCTTCCCTTACAAAAATTAAAGATATTTTTCAGGTTTATTTGAGGTTGTTTTGAGGTGCTAAAGTTAGTTTGAGACTCATTAGAAGTTGACTTCAAAAACAACCTCAAAAAATCACCCCCCCCCTACCAAGATATATAATAACGGTATATGAAGTTGTTTTATTCACACTTGAGGTTGTTTTGAGGCTAATAGAAATCTAGTAACTAGCTTAGAAATCTTAATAGAAATCTTAGAGCAACTAGCTTAGCGAGGTTGATTTTGATGAGTACAGGTAATTTTTTCCACACTTGAAGCAAATAAATATATTTGAGGTGTAAATAATTTCACCCAATTTAAACTAAAAGTACTGCTAAACTATATATGAGGTTGATAATATGAGTGTAAATGAGGTTTAAATTAAGGTTCATTTATGAGGTTATTTTTGGTGTAAAATATAACTTCATCTCAGGTTTATTTTTACACACCTGTCAACTACAAAAACACCTTTTTTAAGGGTTGGGCTACGTGCCTGACCATAACTCCCATTGTCTGCTCACCATTTTCCATATCATATGACACAGTCGTCAGCTTTGGAACAACTTTCAACCACGCAACTTTCATCAACCACACAATTTTTTTAAAAATTTTTTTGCTGAACAAACAAAACTAGATTTGTGGGTATTTTCAGGCTTAAAATATAGATTATACCCTATTTGGGAATATCTTAAGGGTTTTGAGGGTTTTAAACTTTTGATATATGTAATGCTTCCAATCACGTGATAAAAATTAGGAAAATATTACTTTTAGTAAACTGTTACCAACATGTGATAATTGTTTTTCCTTTTTTTTTTCGGTTTTGATGGCGCATTCTAAATTTCTCGTAAACATCCCCCATAAAATCAAGTGAAATAACATTCTTGTTTATTGTTATTTAAGTGGGATTGAGGTTACTGATTAAGGTGTTAAAATAAAATGCTTAGCATTCAAAATACATTTTTAAAAAAAACAATACATTTGTCTCTAATTTTTTTGAAATTTAAATATTTTTTTATGCTTTAATGTGTAAAACAATGTTTTCTTGCTAATTTGCAGTGTCACTTTATTAGTAGATTCTTGTGCTAGGGATTTACAGTAATCTAACAAATGATTTGTATTCATTTTCTTTTAAATTTAGTGAATGGACCAAAAAAGTCCCTAGCAGGAGTTATTTAGAAAATAAAAAAAATATAAAGAGGAATTTTTAAAAAAAATGTTAATTTCTCTTTACTTTGTTAATTGATTCCAACTCAATTAGGGGGTAAAAAATCTATTTGTTATATTTTTGTTTAAAAGTAAGTATGTGAAAAAACGAAAAAAGAAAGACTTATAGTAACCCTTGTGATGATATTCAAGAATACTAATTAATTAATTACATGCAGATACATTAAAAATTTATTAAGTAAAGAAAACAAATACTTACAATAAATTTGAATGAACACACTAGTAGGAATTTGAAATTTTGTTTCTCAATCAAAGCCGTCTCTGATTCGTCATCCATTTATATTAATCCTTTATTCTTTATCCATAATTCTTAATCCTTTAACCTTAAATCCTTATCTTAAGCCTTTATTCTTTGTCCTTAACCTTCTATCCTTAATCCATAATCCTCAATCCATAATCCTAAACATATTCTTAGAGGTTTGTCAAATCTATATCCTCAGTCTGCGTCTGAGCATTTTGCGAGAGGTTTGTCCAATAAATATCATCAGTCTGCGTCTGAGCCGGAACAAATGGGAAAACTCATGGTTGAGCCGTGTCTAGAATTTCAGCACATTTTCCGGAATAACACACAGTAATGATAACAATTACTTTAATCGAACTCACAAGTACGTACTTTTGAAAGTTTTTCATCTTTTAACCTTAACCCTTAATCCATAATCCTTAAACCATAAGCCTTTATCCATAATCCGTAATCCGAAAAATTTTCTGAGAGGTTTCTCTACTCTATATCACCAGTCTGCGTCTGAGCATTTACTGAGAGGTTAGTCCAATAAATATTATCAGTCTGCGTCTGAACGGACACAAATGGGAATTCCCATGGATGAACTGTGTCCAGAATTACAGCCCGCTTCCGATAATATTTGGCAAGCTTCTGATAATATTTAACAATTTTCCTCTCATGCAAATCCCCAGCATGATCACTCTTGCATCCAGAGCAAGAGCTCAAAGTGGCGAAATATCGCCTCAATCTCTTAAGCCACTTCATGACTTAAAAATTAATTTCTTTGAAAAATAATTCAAGATAGCGCCCCAAATACAAAGTTTGGAATGACAATAATCACTAGTTTAATGTATCTCTTTAAACAATACTGACACATTGTTGCATTTTAAACAATAGTTGAGTTTTGAGATTTTTCTTTTAACTATCTACAACAAAGCTAATATTTTTATTGTTGTAATAAGGTTTAAAAAAAAATTAGATTAAAATAACATCAAGCGAATCTTATGCAATTTGAAAAGTTGGAGAATTACAATTAGCAGATTAAAATTCAAAAATTTAGAAGAAAATATCTAATACTTTTTTTTTTTCATAACAAAAAATAAATTTAAACATAGGTTTTGAAATGTTTTTATGTCGAACTGTCAGTTTGTTTTATTAACACACTTCTACGATAAAGTATTTTTTTATTATTTATTCATTATTTTATTTGATGTTTTGTTCAAAATACTTGAACAAATTAAAGGCATTTTTCATTTTCACCTGCCCTAATAAATCCCGCTATTTTATTTGTTTACTTTTTATACTTAAAAATGACTAACACCTAAAAAATTAAATTAAAGAAAAAAATTAATTTACTTGTAATCGGTAACTTTGCATCGGCAACTGTTCACCGGCGAAATGGACAAGTACCGAATTTTAAAAATGCAGTTTTACATTAGAATTATAAAGAGAGAGAATAACTGTATTTTTATGGGGGACTATATTAAAACGCACAGTTACGCTAGTTCTCTAAATTTCACATACAAAAAATTATATTTTCTCCATTTAATACATTCTTCCATTTGCTAAAAATCAGAAAAAAGATTAATTTCTCTTTCGATTTTACTTTTACTCTACTCAGTGGCGCGACAGCCCATTGAGGGCCAAGGCCTACTGTGCCCATCTGAGTTTGCCTGAATTTAAGCTCTGGGATGCAGGAGCATATGTTCCGGTCAGGTGGTCAGCCGAAAGCGGAACGATTTTACTTTTCATGAGTTTAAATTGATAATAGTTTATGAGAATTTTCTTTA